GGGGTTACGGGGGCTAGGGGAGCAGGCAGGGGATGGGGCCTGGCAGGGGTCCTCCCATGGTTCCCTCCCCGCTCCTCCAGCTCCTGCTCCCCCGCTCCCTACTTACCAGCTGGGAGTCTGGGTCCAGCTCCTTGATGCAGTGGGTGGGGACTGCCCGAACCATCAAATCAAGGCAGACTTTTTTATTGGTCTCCTGATTCGATTCAGATTTGGAGATTTGGTCGCTGAATTGGGCCGAATTTCCTCCGAATCAAATCAGCACTTAACACTTTGCACAGCCCTACTACTCATGTTTAAAATAAAATGTGCAAACATATTTTTATGTGAGATGCCTAGATATGGACTTTCCCCATCTCTTCCCAGTGCAGCTGTTAGCTGTATGCTTCGATAAACAGAGATTGCACTGTTTTGAAAAGGGATCTGGAGGAGGAAAGCAGTAAGGTCATAGCAGTAATCGAGACAGGAAATGATGGGAGGGGATAAGAGTTCTAGCTGTCTGGATAGCAAGAGAAGATTAGATTTGTGGTGGAACGTGAAGAGGCAAGAATTGGAAACTGCCTGTGCGTATGGGAGTAGGGTTAAAGGGGACTTCCAGGTGGGGGTCCTGATGAACAGGGAAGAGGATGGGAGTAACATTTGAGGTGATAGAGAATGAAAGGCAGGGGAATCGTTTGGGAGAAAAGACCAAAATACAAAGCAGCAATTTATTCAGAAGGGGTGGCTGCAAAGATAAAGAGATGTTAATCCTAATCCGGTGTATTATTGCCAACTAGTCTGATACTTTGTCAGAACAAGCTGCTACTGGAAAACATTGGCTTATACTTTCTGCAATTACTAATTATGTTGTTGCCAAGAGATCCATGTGTCCTAACTCAGGCTTATGCAACACGTATGCTTCCAGAGGACTGACTACGTGCCAGGATGTACAGTATATGCTTGTTAGTGCCAACCACGTTTCTGCTGCCTCATTTTACTCTACGTGGTGAGAGCTTGATGCAGCGTGGTGTATATTTAAAAGGATTTTGGGCTAAGTCACTTTCCGTAATCTATTAGAGTGCCATGTCCGGTTTATTGTGTAGTGTGTAATTCTTAACTCATTTGGCTTAGCATAGTGATTTGCAATACAGAGCTCTGTCTAGGATAATTGTAAAATTAACACTTGGAAAACATCTTGTGAGGCATTGACATATTGTGACCAGAGGATCCAGGTTTTCCATTTCCCACCGATAAATGGAGAAAACCACGGATTTCCCTTTCTCAGCACTGAAAATGTGAATTTCTCCTTTTAGCAGAGAAACTCACAGGAGGGGGTAAGTGGGGGGAGGACAGGGCCTGAGGCTCTCAGTGAGCCATGGCTCCACTCGGCTCAGCGCAGCCTTGCTCTTGTCCTGGAGCCTGTGTGGTAAATGCGGCTGGCAGGGGCCTGGGGGTCCCTCTGGCAGGGATGGGGGGGTGCGGGTCCTGGCCGGGGGCACCAGCAGGGCTGGAGGGAGCGGCCCCCCCCCCCCCCCGCCCCACGCCAGCCGTAGGGGAGCTGGCTCCATGCTGCTTCTGCTGCAGCTGCCTGCTGTTGGGGGTAGGGAGCGGCAACTTGGTCTCTGGCCCCATAGCCCTGGCAGTCGGAAGCCCCCTCTGGCGGGGCTGTAGTGGGGGCAAGAGCCATGAGTAGGGCAGGGGGGCTCTTGTGGGGGCAGTGAGGGGCACCAGCAGGTTTGGGGAGACTTTGGGGATGAGCGAGGGGCCCCAGCAGGGATGGGGGGCTTTGGGGGCAGTGAGGGGCACCAGTGGGGCTGGGGAGGGCTGTGGGGGGCTTTGAATTTTAATAACAGATTTTGGGGTTTTTGTCAGAGAATTTGCAATTTTTTGTCAGGGAGTTTGTGATTTTTCTTATCAGAGAAAACTAGGATCCCTCGTTCTAACAGTGAGCACAGAAGGAAAACTCAAATACAGTCTTGAAATTTTGTATTTCCCTATGATTACTTTTGCTACCTTGGATGGAAGCAGCGCATGAATACCTCCTGTATAAGCATGTGTGAGGGGTTCTTGGTAGGATAGGGTCAATGGAAAAGCTGCGTTGTCGGTGTGCACTGAATGCCAGTCACTTTCAGCTGTGGAATAGCTTGTGGGATTTGACTGACTGAGTCCTATGAAAAGCTGGAACAGCCTGTAGGTTGCCTATGGAGCAGTTTGATTTCAAAATAATTTCAAAATTATTTCACAGTAGTTTCAATAGTAACAGCTGACATGTTTTACTCACATTATTATGCCTTTGCTTTACATGTTGAAGGCTTAATTTTATTCACAAGAACTGGCAATTGGATTTCAGAATTGGTGTAACTGAGTCCTGGGAGAATTTTAGGAACACAGTATTCACATGCTTCTCCTTGTGCTCAGTATAATACGTAAGCCATTACATTTGCACTAAGTAATGCGAAGATAAATGTTGTCAAATAGTATATTCGTAATGGCATTATCTTATTTGGCTGCCACTGACGCAGAGTGATGACACATTGTGTCCTTAGACCCTAGGTACGGATGTGTTTAAGTGAACAGTAATTACAGCAGATAGTTCAGTAGAACTAATCGGTAAACTCTTCAATACAGGCAGTCCTTGACTTACAACGTTTCGAGTTACAACATTTCGCACTTACAGCAGTTATAAATTGACACCGATTCAACTTTATGACGTCAGTTTCGACTTTACAACGCTTGATCCGATGCGATGCCATGCCAGCGAACAAGTTTGCTGCGTTGCTCATCTCCCTGGAGAACATCTGTCCAAACTTCCTTGGACGTTCTCTTTAAGAAAGCAGCCAAGACTCCTGAGAAGCCTCCAGCCAAGAGCCCTTCAAAAAGTCCAACCAAGAGCCCTTCAAAAAGTCCAGCAAAGTCACCTCAAATCAATATGATTGCTACTTACAATATTAATGTAGCTATATTATTCATCTATAATTGATTGAGTACAAAATTCTGGGGTATTCTTAGTGAAAACAGGGTATTGGACCTTGGTTCAGGAACCAATCCCCCATTTATAACATTGTTTCTTATGAGAAAATTGGTTCTGAGTTGCAACATTTTGACTTCAGATGTGGTTTTCAGGAACCAATTGTGTCATAAGTTTGAGGACTGCCTGTATCTAATTTTGATTGTTTTTGAGCAACGTGGATTCTAGAGTTTTAAAATAAGCCAATTGAAATGTAGACATGAAAATGGACTCCAGTTACCCTTTTTTAAATCCTACATGAGGAATCAGCCACATTCTCCTTATCCATTCTCTCCCCTAATATTCACCTCCTTCCTTTTTTCTCTATTCCTTCTGTACCCTCCCTACTTTTCTTCCCTGCCCCATCATATCCACTTTCCCATATACAGTACCCTTCCATGTTTCATCTTCC